GGAGCATAAAGCTTCTGATGGTCATAAACGATATTCATTTAGGAGCAGCATCAGAGGTATGTTTTTAACTGCACTGCATTGGAGAGAATACCATAGTGTGTTTTTTTTTTACTCCCTGGCGGAAACTGGCTTCCAGAAGAATCAGTATGGCTCAGAGATTAAATAAAACTTCACAGACATTAACGTTTTGTAACCTCCCATTTGTAACTATGGTGGTGTAATGGTTTTAAAATATCTGTCCAGCCCCATTTGTAACAATATTAATGGTTAGATTAGCTGATATCAAAATCCTGTCTCCACAATGTTTGATTTGAGAGCTGTCATTCCCTACCACCTGCATTCTCTAGGTGACAGCATGTCAGACATACTAGTTTTACATTAAGCAGTGTTGTAAAGTACTGATATACTGTACCTTTTCCCCTTTGAAAAAAGTGATGCGAGAATCATCAGTGTTTTTCCTCTCTTCAAAGTCATTCATCACTTTGGCAGAAAGAGTCCTAGTATAGCACCTTACTGAAGACTCAAAGGTCACATCCCCTGTGCGTATGATGGGAATGTGCAGGACTCCATTCTTCTCTTTCACTGAATACACATCCTTTTCAAATTGCATGCTTGGAACTGAAAGACAAACTTAACTTCACCAGATGGAGTAGAATCCAACCAGACATGCCGGGCAAATGAACATTCTTAAGTATGAACCTGACCTGGGTCAACTGAAAGTGCTGAACTAAACAGCACAGGTGCTTTGTGACTTTAAATAAGTATAAGAATAAACTGTAAGATATTTGTCATAAACATTAAAACAAAGAATAAAAACAGGAACAGAAAATGAAAATGTTTTCTATACTTCTAGGATAAGTTACCTAATTAACAAAAACTAGAAAATAAGCAGACAAAAACTTCAGAAATAAAATGTTTCAGAAATACAGGTTAGATCAGCAATTAAGTATTAAGTATGAAAGTACTATTAGAATTTAGTCATATTACATTCTTTACAAGTAAATGTGAAAGTACTATACACTAGAATTCTGTACATTATACTATTAATATTAAGAATACTGAGCTGCAAATACCTCTCAAATACCTGCAAATACTACAAATACCTCTCACGTGATACATGTTCATATAAGGAAAGATGTGTGTGTGTGTGCCCACAGCTTTTTGCTTTTCTCACATACCATCCTGGAATGCATCATTAATAGCAACCAAAGCTTCATAAGGTTCAGTGAGTACAGCCCGTTGAGGTGAACTGAGGAACACCACAAAGTATTCTGTGCCTTCAATTGTTGGATTTTGATTGTCATCAAGAATTGTCAGACTACAAATCTGAAACACACAATCATTTGGCAATTACAGTACAGAGTATCTTAAAAAAACAGAACAAGAAAAATTTGTAATAAGGGCATATAGCAGAATGAATTATGCAGTTTTTTAGAAATATTTTGTGTGCTTATCTGCTTCCATACTTCTTGAAAACAGTGTCATGAAAAAGTATTTGTCCCCTTCCCAATTTCTTCTATATTGCATATTTATCACACTGGATGTTTTCAGATCTAATATTAGATAAGGGGAACCTGAGTGAACAAATAACACTTCTTTATTATTATTTCATTTATTAAATAAACAAAGTTATCCAACACCCATATCCCCTGTGTGAAAAAGTAACTTAACGGGTTGTGCCACCTTTAGTTGCAATGGCTGCAACCAAACACTTCCTATAATTCAATATTCAATATTTTCACATCGTTGTGGAGGAATTTGAGCCCACTCTTCCTCACAGAACTGCTTTAATTCAGAAACATTGGTAGTTTTTTTCAATGAACTGCTCATTTCTGGTCCTGCCATAGCATGTCTATTAGGTTTAGGTCTGGACTTTGACTAGGTCACTCCAAAACTAATTTTGCTCAGCCATTCTGATATGGACTTGCTTTTGTGTTTTGGATCATTGTCTTGCTGCATGGCCCAACTACGCTTCAGCTTCAGCTCATGGACAGATGACCAGACATTCTCCTTAAGAATTTTCTGATACAGAGCAGAATTCATGGTTTCTTCAATTATGGCAAGTTGTCCAGGTCCGGAGACAGCAAAGCATCCCCACACCATAACACTACCACCATGTTTGACTATTGGTATGATGTTCTTACTGTAAAATGCTGTATTTGCTTTACGCCAGACATATTGGGACGCATGTCATCCAAAAAGTTCCACTTTTCACTCATCTGTCCATAAAACATTCTCCCAAAAGGCTTGGAGATCATCCAGGTGCTTCTTTGAAAATGAGAGACGAGCATTTATGTTCTTCTTGGTTAGCAGTGGTTTCCACCTTACTACTCTCCCAAGAAGCCCATTTTTGCCCAGTCTCTTTCTGATTGTGGAGTCATGAACACTGACTTTAGCTGAGTCAAGAGAAGCCTGCAGTTCTTTGGATGTTTTTTTCAAGATCCTTTGTGACGCCCTGGATGATTTTACGCTGCACCCTTGGAGAAATTTTGGCAGGCCAACCACTTCTGGGAAGATTCACTACTGTTCCAAGTGTTCTCCATTTGGAGATTATGGCTCTCACTGTGGTTCAGTGGTCCAAGAGCCTTAGAAATGGCTTCGTAACCCTTTCCAGACTGATAGATATCGACATATTTTTTTTTCTGATCTCTTCAGGAATTTCCTTTGATCGTGGCATAATGTGCTTGTTGAATCTTTGAGCTGGCAACTTGACTCTGATGGTAAGGATCAAAATACAGTATGTGAGGTTTATATTGAGCAGGGCTGGTTATAATTACTTTTGCACACAGTGCACAAGTTGGTGTTGGATAACTTTGCTCATTAAACAAATAAAATAAGCAAAAAAGTGTTATTTGTTCACTCAGGTTCCCTTTATCTAATATTAGATTTTGGTTGAAGACCTGAAAACATTCAGTGTCAAAACGTTGCAATAATAAAGAAAATCAGGAAGGGGGCAAATACTTTTTCGCGTCACTGTATCTACCAGGCAGCATGCAAAAATATTAGACTAATCAAGTCAATCAGATTATAGATTTAATCTGACTGAGCAGGACTTTCATATATTAAAGATAAAATTAAATTAATACCTTCAGAACAGTCAATAACTGTTCAAGAACTCAAACTGCAGCAAAGCACCTCAACAAAATATTACACAGAGTTTGGTGAGGAGACTTCATGTAGTTATTACCTAAAAGGGATAATCAACCATTCTGAGTTCTACACTCTGAAAAGTACTTAAAAGCATCACATAAAATCACTGAGGTTGTCACGGACGTCCAAAGGAACTAACTGTGGGGAGCAGGAGAGCGGAAAAGACCCATATGCGTAGCGGCGAGACGGGAAAAAGGCCCGGGCTCATTAGTGCAAAGAGTTCAGGAATGTCGTATAGAATCCTATGCCCTCAGGGAGCGGACGTGGGGCGCCCTGGTGCTAGGCAGGTCTCAGGACATCCGAACCTCAATGCTGAGCGAGGACAGAGTGCAAGACCCGGAAATATATAGCCCAAGGGAAAGAGAGGGACAGGAAGGACAGCAGAGCGGAAACTAGAGACAGGACAGAGAAGGAGCGCCTTCTGGCTGCAGAGGGCGTGACAGAGGTGAACAACATGTTTTTGTTCTAAAATGATCAAATGTATGCATGTAATTAACCACAAATAAAATGTATAGACATGATGGTGTACCTCTCACAAGTTGTTTCACTGTAAAACAAAAAATAATATTACTGACCTTTTAATGAACAATGAATGCTTGAGCAGGAAATATGTTGCAAAAATACAGTACTGTTAGAAAAGTGCCAAAAGAAAAAAAGACACAGGTTTAACTACATAACCTAATCCTGTGACAGAAAACTCTGATCTCAGACTAACAGAAAATTAAAGAAATGGCTAGGCCCAGCAGTACGATTCTCTGCAGTGGACCTATATGGGTAGCAGACTGACAATTAAAAGGAGAAAGGGTTACAAGCTGCTTCACCTCCTCTGTTTTCCCAGGCCTGAACTCCACTTTCTTGGAGCTAGGTATGTAGTCCACTCCAGGTGTGGCTGAGGGTGGATCTGAAGGCCGTGTGGCACACCACACAGAGGTCACAGAGGACAGATCACTGCCTTGCCTAATAACAGGAATTTCAATGACACCTAAAAACAAAATCACATCCCTGTTTTATGACATCAAATTGTAAATATTTGAAATTTGAAAATAGAAACACAGACCCTTTAGCTTTATGACCCTATCACTTATGTTTCTTTCATTAGATTTTAAACTATTAGCAGTTGTTTAAAGTTGACACAGATCTATTCTGACTTGCTGTTAACTGCTTTCAAAGTAATTATACACTGTAAAATGAATTGTGTAAATATTGTGCACTGAAACAATTACTAATATTTAAAAATACACAACCAAGTTTGAAACATTTTCAGAAGAAAAAATCCACATTAGTGCAATGTATTCTGCAGTCTGTTGTAACCTTTACCTTTATCTTCACTCAGTGTAAAAGAAGCATTTCCCAGGAATACAGTGGAGACATCATTTGGGCCATCGATCACCACTTTGGCAACTGTCACATCCCCAATCCGAGCATTGTCTGAGGCATCAGCCAGGATGATTTCAAACTCTTCTTCCAACTCATACTCACTGTCATCAATCAGTTTTACATCACAGGTGGACATGCTCACCCCAGGCCCTAAAATCACCCGATTTTCACTGGACATTCCTCTGGACTTGAAATCAGAACCAGACTCCAAAGAATATAGGCTGCTGCCTTGGGCAGATTTGGAAACAGTGTAGCAAAGAGCAGAAACAGTGCTACTGGAGTCACCTGGAAATTAGACAAAACTCTGTAAGTGAGAGAAGAGACTGAGACTAATACAGATGCAGCCATTCAAAATGCACCATACAACCCCATACCGGGTGAAATTACCCACAGGTCACTACACTGTACCGCAGTACAGTACGTGATTGGCTGGCCATAATGACCGACAGGGGCACTCATGGTGCACTGGTTGTTAGTGAAACGATTTAATCATTTAATCTCTTTACTGTGCAAGTTTTGATCCACTTAATAGTGAATATTTATATGGAATTTTAAAACTAAAGGGAAATTTTAGTAGCTGAGCATAAAAAGAAGAGGAGCATAACACGTCAGAAGGTCATAAATTATATAAATTTATGAACATAAACATATCATGTAAACTGTATATGGATGGTATTGGTAGTTTAAGGAAAAAATACACACCAGTATTCCACTTTCTTCCTGAACATTTTAAGCATCAAAGTCTTCGGTTACATACTGTGGTTATTTTGGAAAAGTTTTTATGGGCTCCTTCCGACTACATTAAGTTTATATATTTCATAAAAAGTTATTATGTTTTAACCTTTTCTATGAATATTTGCGCTCGTTATCATAGTAAAAAAACACATACTTTTTAGAATTTGAATAATAGGGAATATAATATGGAATTGCATATCTAACGAAATTAATAAAGATATAATTATATTCATATAGCTCAAATGATCACATTAGTACACTTTCTTTGTAAGCATCTGCATCAATTTGACTCATTCGCCAGCGATTACTTGGAAACTCTTGCCTGCCCTTTTTGGAAACATTTTGACATTCGTTTTTTTTAAAGCTTGTATTGTTCTTATAGTGGTAATGGAGAACATACTGTACAGTTGTAAAGCTGTTCAGCGCATGTTGGTGTAACGATATTAATTTAAGGATCTAAATATATGTATTTATATAGCTGATAGTTTTACTGTAATCCACTATTCTTTATAAATACGTTTTATTTTTAATTTGACTCATTCACGCATGATTACTTTTGAAACATTTTTAAGCTGTTTGTCTCAGCTGTGTTTCCGAGCAGCCCTAGATGATCCGGGTTCAATACCCGCTTACGGCACAAGCTTTTCTTCTAACAAATTTTTTAAAGAAACTATAACAGTATCATGTACACTATATTAACACGTTTTTGGTTTTTTTCGTATATATATTATAACATATTCAATGTTAAGTTATATTAATAATGAAATAAAAACATGAACTAGCAAACATGAATACTGTCAACTGTACAACCGGTTTAATTCAAAACACTTTATTCAGTGTGGCAATTTAACAGATGCCTCAAGCCTTAAAATGAAATCAAACAGATGCAGCCATTCAAAACAAGCGGGGTATGCTGCGGTACAACGCGGTGGGCGTGTCGCAGTATACCACGATTTACCATATGCAAATTAGATTGTGTTAATAGTATCTTGAATCACCTTGTAAAACCGGCAGGTGGATCTTATAAAGCTTAACATCTCCTGTACAGCATTTGAGCTGTCACCAGAAAACATCCAGTTTTGAATCCCGATGACTGCTGTGGGACAATCTTTATTCAATTAAGAATTGTATAAAGTTGTATACTCTTTAGACTTTTAAATTTAAACTGTGTATTACAGCATGTTAATCATTATACATTAAAAAGTTGGTATATTTTATGAAAGCAAGATTGCTCAGTTGGACAAAAGTACACAACCTAGCACCTTTATCATAAATATTTTAATTATGCAGAAATATTTTATTATTTCTTTGAAAAACTAAAATAGCAAACATTATGGACACTACTTTATATTGACATTTTTTATATTTCTAAATATCACAACAAGTTCGAAGCTAAGTCATTTATTAATAACAATGAATAATTTCAAATTGCTACTGATATTATTACTGACTAAATATTATTGACACTATATTGAAATTGTTGTTTTTTCTAAATATAAAAAAAAGTTCAAAGCGAATTAAGTGATTACCATTTTCCATGAATACTTGCGCTCGTTATTGCAGTAAGAGAAACTCATACCTTTTAGAATCTAATTATTAAAGCAATAAGGCACGAGAGGCCGTGCTACTGTGTATCGTGGATATAGTCACAGTTAAAAGGTGTTGTTAGGCCTGAAGCGATGCAGAGGGCCGGCAACCCTTTTAACTGTGACTATATCCACGATATAGCACAGGCCTTGAGTACCTTACTGCTTTTATAAAATGGTCCCAAAATATGCGATTGCTGTATAGAATGAATTTTAATTTTAAAAATTTATTTAACACGAAAATTAATCTGTTTACGTTCCTCTGCTTGCGAATATTGGCCCTCGTTGCTATGCAACACAGAAACACAGCCACAAGTAACTAACTAACAAGGACAGGACATTAGCTAGCTAATATGATAAAGGAATAAATGACTTGTTTTTTGTTTATTTCTTTAGCACATTTATTTGAACATTTCCATCGATTGTACAAGCACTGAAAAATGTCATCAGGCATTTTCTTTTACTATAACAGACATAAAAACTCCCTTGCTTTTAACAGAGCGTTTCATAACTTCTAAGAATGAAAATGATTTAAACTATGTGACACTTATTCAACCAGAGCTCAAAATATCACAAGGATCCTCAAGAGCACAACCAAGACAGCAGAAAAAGATACGTGTATCAGATACATGAGAATCCAATTTTTTTTATTTACGTTAAGAAGTAGTCTTTAAAATGTCTTTATCACACAGTAAAAAGTCAAAATTCCGGAGTGTGCGTATATCAGAAAATCCGATTTCAGGACCGGAATTATCCGTTTTATAATAGGGAATATAGTATGGAATCACGTATCTAAAGAAATTAAAAATGGTATTAATTTAAGGATCTAAATATCTAAATATACTTATTTATATAGCAGGTAGAATTACTGTATTCCACTTTCTTTGTAAACAAGAAAAAACAGATACACAACGCAAAGCTGTGTCACTCTTCAGGAATGTTCATGCTGTCAGCAGTATTGTGTATATAGTTTTATGTACAGGCTCGGAAAACTTTCACAAGTAGAGGTCTTTAAAATTAGGTTGTATTTCTAATTCTTAAAAAATAAAGCAAAAACAAGACATAATGATGTGTTCCTGCTTAGACATTTAATAGCTATAAAAACAGGTTTCGATAGTTAATAACCACTTTTTATGCACAAAAAACGGGTGATTTTTCTTCCTCCTGATCAGCTTAGAATCTCTGTGTATGATGTAAGGCTTTTACTTCTTAATTAAACGTTTAAAATACATGTTTTTAACAGAAAAAATCATATTCTGTTGTCTTCCTGGTATGTAGAACAGATCAGCAGATCTTTTTTTCCTTAATCACAGACTCTGAAAACAGTGTGCAGCCCATTGCGCTGCATCAGAGGGGGAGGCGGCACAGAGAGAGGGAGGAAGTTCTGAGCTGAGTATTGCACAATGGCCGTAAAGCACCAATTGCATCTGCATTCATAACTTAGTGTTTAAAATTAAACAACGTAAATCATTTTCTTTGACTCCTAAGTCCCTTGATTATCATTAAGCACAGGTTTCTCAGCACTAATTTTTGGTACCATTGTTAGACGAAGTAGGAAATTATTGTATTTTCTAATGACATTACAGGTGGTAAGATTACAGATTTTAATTGTTTTTAATTTTGTTATGCATTTTAGAAAAGCTTAATCTATACATACACCACAAAACTATTCTCGATTGTATTTCTGAATGCTATGTATAAAAAAAACTTGCAGGTGTTAGCATAAACTATTAGTAATCAATAATATTAAATTTAGCACTGTAATAAATTGTGCTAATAAGAAATTCTATTCTACTCTGATTATGTAGGGGGGAGAAAAAATGCCCGTCTTTTCACTGATAAACGCGTGTAAACAAAAACTACAGTATGCTTAAGAGTTGTTAAACTGTTTTTTTTTAACTTAAAAATAAACAGAGTTTAATGACATGAAATTGAATCCAGTTGTCAGATCACGTATATACATACCTTAGCTTTGTGCAACAACCTGAAACTTTCAGGTACCATAAATAATATTATTGCTAAACATATGTCATTCTAATCTGCAAGCGACCAGAATACAGAATACAAATTTTTGTATAAAAATGCATTAAGTACTGTTCTACACCTGCTTGCTTTGGAAGCACTGGCCTACCTGTATACAAACTATACAAAATGCTTTTAAATCTAGCATTCAGCACAGCCAGCCCGCTAGAGCACCACAATTAACACTCAACCACATCACAGATCACAGATCAGTCCCAGTGTGTGAGATCTTGCAGTTTGATCTGTGCTTGATCTTTGATCTGAGCTTTAATAGAGAGCTTATCTCTATTAATATATTAATATCGAGTGGTATTAAATGCAACTTTTTTGTATAGATGACACTTTTCTAAAATGCATTTAAAAATAAAAAAGATTACAATTGGCAGACCTGTAGCTTTTTCACGAAACCTCCTTGAGTTATGAAAACACTTGCTGTGTGTACAAAGTACATGTGGCTGTTTTCACAGCCTTCACTATGTTGTTTTTAAGCCATTTTTTTACCACGCTCGAATATTCTTCTGTCCATATCTCTGAAAGGGAAACACAGAAAGCCTTCAAACCAAATGCATTTTAAAGACCACGACATGTGAAAATCTTCACAGCCTCCACATAAAACTATCAGTGAGCTAATTCTCTTTTTTTAAACCTCCGGTTTTTCATCGATGCATAATTACGCACTAACTGGAACCCGGGGGGACCGCTGTGTACACATGTTCACAATGCGAGAAATACTGCTTAATACGGCTTTGTGTGAAAAACCTGTATATCACCACAGGAAGCAGAACAGCGCAGCCTGAAACGGCTGAAACATTGTGTTGTCTTTCTTCTCTTTTCAGCTTGGAATAAACCTATTACTTGTTCCTTTGCAGCCTACGCATGCTGTACGTGGCTACCCACCTGTATTAAACCTATTTCACGCAGTAGTTTAAACTAAGTGTAAAG